TCCCAAAAATTAAAAAGAAAGTAACAATCGCTCACTGCGATTTAAAAATCTAGGAGAAAATGGTTCCCAGTCGAATGATTCTTGCCTAGCTATGTATGTATATGTATGTATATATGCAGCGATTTCAATAACTATTAATTGTAGCCGTAACTCGCTGTCTCTATTAGCGATTGTCCATCTGCTGCGATAGATCTCCGGCGATGAATCGCTTGTGTAGGCCGCTCATCGCAAGGTTGTACTGTTAAATATGTAGTTAGTTTCACAGCTTCTTTTAACTTTAAATTTTGATGAAGTTGTGTTTTTCTATAATATAGTATATGCTCAAAACAACGTCGAGAAAGCCACTTTTGCGAATACAGTAATTTTCGCCAAGTGTCGTAAGCACTTTTTGAAATGAAGTTTTCTGTGATGACATGCCCAAGTACCAAAATTTCTATGCGATGAGCATTTCGCTTGCGATGAAACTGACAGATCTCCTGCGATAGCTGTATGCTAATGGAGACAGCAAGTAAGTAATTGACAACATATGTAGCTGTGTAAAATTTCAGGACGTTGGTTTAAACAGTTCCAGGGATAAGCGTTATGAAAAGTTCAGTGTGTATGAGAGGTACCACGCCCCCTTTTCTAATACCTGCCACTTTCCGTCATTAGCACGGTATTCAAAACATATATAGCTGTGCCAAATTTCAGGATGTTGCACAGTGGCCAATTTTTCGAAAAAGCTGGCCAAAAGTCGAAGCGTGGTACAATTGTAATCAAACCTTGCGTATTCGTCTTTATTTTGGTTGCTGGTTTTAAATTTCACCATATAATCTCGAAATTCATAATGGTGGATCCATAATGGCTGCTGTGTACGCTTAAAATAATCAGATTTTTAGCAAAACTAAGGTAGTTAAGTATAAAAGGTCATGTTTTCTGCTTTTTTGTTATATAATGTGATGTAGCGGTTAGCAATATACGCTATCATTCCGCAGGGCCTGGGTTCAAGCCCAGTTTGCGACCAACATCAAAAAATAAGAAACAAACAAGTTTTTTGTAATAAAGTCGCCCTTTGGCAGGCAATGGCAAACCCCCGAGTGTATTCCGCCACGAAGAACAGCTTCTCATAAAAATAAAATCCCCGTTCGAATTCGGCGTAAAACTGTTGGTCCCTCCCCTTTGTGCGCCAACATCAGGTTTGAAGGTTAAACTACGTGTCAGTCAGTAGCGGACCCACGGGGTGTGTTTTAATATGGCGCATATGTATGTATAATATGGTGTCTATGTATTAAAACACCCCCCGTGTGTCCGCCACTGACTGACACGTAGTTTAACCCCCACAAACTTCAATATATATGAAAAAGAAAATTAGACCGCCCATCTCGACCACTCTCGTAACTATTTTCCTAATCCATCATAATGAGTAAACAAAAAAAAATCAATCCGTGAATATCTACGTCTTACGTCAGTTTTTAGATGGCGTGACAATGAAAAAACATGTTTTACATACTCTAGATTACAATGTCCATGAGCGGATACTTGAAAACTGTTATTTTTTTTTAAGGATAATACCACGATTTTAACAACGACGAAAACTCTATTTTTAATATTTTTATTGAGCTTTGTACCACGATTGTTTATTAGGAAAAATTGAAAAAGCAACAAAGTCTAAGCGGTAGAAGTTATAGCACTATTTCGGAGATCACCACATCTCCTCATCAGACTTCTTTTTCTAGACTTCAGCAGGGATCGAACCTGCGAATTCGATGTTCAAAGTCAGAAGCGTTAACCACTGAGCTATGTACATCCCGTAAACTCTTGTTGCTAATTCATTTTCCTTATTCAACCAACTACTATCAAGTGCAACTGATTTGCCGCTATTTAAACTCGACAGCGTGGTTGTTGTTGTCAATTCTATACATTCATTTGCTTATTTGCTTTTTTTTTGTATAGTTTCAGGCAGGCTCTTCCTAAACTATGTATTTGTCAATGTTATTGTGGCTTGTTAACATTTCATTTTTAATATTTTTATTGAGCTTTGTACCACGATTGTTTATTAGGAAAAATTGAAAAAGCAACAAAGTCTAAGCGGTAGAAGTTATAGCATTATTTCGGAGATCACCACATCTCCTCATCAGACTTCTTTTTCTAGACTTCAGCAGGGATCGAACCTGCGAATTCGATGTTCAAAGTCAGAAGCGTTAACCACTGAGCTATGTACATCCCGTAAACGTAAAACTCTAATTTACGAAGAGTTTAGAGCGAATTGCTAGCAACAGTCACTTCCAACTCCTCCAACACTAAATGCTTTAAGAGAATCGACTTGTTGTCTCATAACGATACGCAATAGAGCCCTCCTAACAATATAAGATGGTTATGCATACGAATACATCAATTTTTTTTTACTTTTGGCCAGGGTTTTCCAAAAATTGGCCACTGTGCGTTGGCTTAAGCAGTTCCAGAGATAGGCGATATGAGACGTTAAGTTTGTATGGGAGGTGCCACGTCCCATTTTCCAATAGCTCCCAGTTTCCGCCATAAGTAGGGTATTTACAATTTATGCATCCGCGCCAAGTTTCAGTTCCCCAGCATAGTTGGTTTAAGAGATATAGTGGTGCACTCAAAAAAGGGGTTTCAACATTTTATTGGGACGTATGTATATGTGTAGATATCCATCATTCTCCCACTATAAAAGAACGTTAGGAGTATCCCGACCCCAGCGCCTCCTATCGTGTAATTTTTCAGTAAATATTCCTTTTCAATTGGCCAACAAATATTCTAAATGAGAGCCACATCTGCGACTAAATGCAGTTTTTAGGAATATCCCGACCCCAGCGCCACCTAGCGATTAACTTTTTAGTCGGAATATTTTCCTTTGAGGTGCTGACATAGAGTTGTTCCCAATATGAACAAAATCGGTCCAGTCGTTTGGTAGTTTAGTGACATACAATATACGGAAAACTTTATGAAATTGTAAAATGGTGACGTCTCAGCTTTCTTATTTTTTTGGCAACAACAACAAAAAGTTTTGAAGTTTTTTTATCGAAAATCCTTCCACACAGAAGATCCAAAAAAGTACTTTTTACGGAATTGAAATCGGTTCCGCCGTTCATTTGTATATATTTAGAATAACAGACTTAAAAAAACTTAATTATTTTATTACATACATAGTAGAGCGGGGCCATTTTTTTTTTATTATGCGCGTATAGCAGCGGAGGATTCGAAGTGTAATTCGGAGCAAATTTGCTGAAGAAACCATGGATCTAAAATCAATTTGGAGTTTGTCAAATTGCGAGAATAGGTTCGAAGAAAATGTCCAAATTTTTACTGTTGGGCACTCCGGTTGAAGTTTTAAGAAAAGATAAGTTCAGAAATGGACTCCTCATACAAAAAACCCCTTCTAGCTAATTTTTATACAAAATTAAAGCACTACTACAGCAAAATGCTAAGAAGCCTATTTTCACAATTTGGCAAACTCCAAATTGATTTTAGACGCATGGTTTCTTCGGCAAATTTTCTTAGAATTACACATAGAATCCTTCTGTGCTATGCGTGCATAGTCGAAAAAGTATCCCATACAAATTGACTCGCACTAATGCATACATAAATATGTTAATCTACCACATTGTTTTGGAACCTACCACAATATTTAAGGCTTATCTACCACTTTGTGTACAAGTCAATATTGTGGAAATTACTACACAATAAAATTGCGCTAACCTTATTTTGGAGAAACGTTGCTCAAGTAAATATGTGCAAGAAATATGAATGTGCGTTGTATATTTTGATAGCTTTAGCTTTAAAAAAAAAAATTTTTCTACGCTCTTTCCATATTTTACAGCACGATCTGGACACCAAAATCAAAACAAGACTAAAAATTGCGCAATTCTCGCCATAAGCAACACAAATTATTTTACAATAACACAAGCATTAGCAAAATATCAACATGATTTTGATTTTAGCGCAAGAACTGTGTAATTTAGTACAAACAACCCCATACACCGCATAAACGACCGACGTAAGCCCGACATTGCGCAATGTTTTTGTGTGCTTTAGGGGCCCTATAACAGCGGCGTGTGCAAAGAAATTCCGGCTTGTAATTCCCTTATACGAGTTACCAAATATGTAAATATAAAATTTTAAGACTTTAAATAACAAGAAAAAAATTATTGCCTTTGAACTATATATGTATATTATTCATAGTTTTCAAAAATTCATTTCTGCCAACTAAAAGTATCAAAATGGGGCATTTGTGAACAAAAAAGTATCAAAGTATCGATCTTAAAATTTAGAAAAAAAGTATTAAAAATGATACAATGATTATCTGGCTAACGAATTTCCGGATAAATTTATTCCTCAGTTAGGTTAATTATTCTTCGAATAAACTTTAACTGACTATTGAAAAACACCATTTCGACTTATCAGTCAAGTTAGTACTTACTCATGGCTTATCTGACTATTGAAAAACCGTCCCTTAGTGTTTAAAGATGAATTGTTTTTAGTTTGACCTTGAATTGCCCTAAATCCTGACCTGATGCGATCAAACGGACACCGTATTTGGCTTCAGCGACGGGTTATAGCGGTATGTAGTGCTGTGTAATGAAACTGAATTTCAATAAAACCAAATGTTTAAATGTTTTATTTGATAAAGTCTATTTTTATTTAGATAAATATAATTTAAACGGTCGATGTTATTTTATTTGAAACGAATAGTTTCAAATCAAAAACCTTAATTTTTTAAAAACTCTCTTCGATTTTTAAGGTTACGGTTTTTTGGTCGACAAAACATCTGGTAACGCTGCAAACGATTTGTCTGAACTCCCCCAACTGCATTGTAGATATCTATCAGAGCAGAAGTGAAAATAGCACTGATTATCAGATTAGGACGTTAGCGTGTGCTGTTATTGCTGATTCTCTCTCTGTAGAATTGTCACAAAACTTTTCCTTCGGCATATTTTTGCGCTCACATTTTTGGTCTCCCGTGTTTTACTGTCGTTTAAAAACAAACGAAAGTTGTCTCGAGCGGCGCAGTTGCGTGGATGCTGCAGGCAAAGCAACATCAATCGTAATTCCGCAACTAGACAGTTTAGCAAGCACGGTGCCTGAATTGTGTCTGTGTATGCCGGATACAAATAACGAAATGTCCGAATGCTTCATCGAAAGAAGTGTAAAGCCTGCACCCTTTCCGTGTTACATCAAATTGAGTGCTTGAGTGGCAATCCACGGTGTTTGGCGTGGAGAGCAAAACCTTCTTGCACTTATGTGCAAATATGGTGTGTGTACTTGCTCGGTACTGCTGACCCACATTTATGGAAGGAAGTATACATGCAAAGAGGTTATCGTACATGCTGGGGGATAGGGAATATGTATAAACTCTTTTGAATTATACGAGGAAAACTGCAATGCAATTTTTAAAACGCTGTGAGTTAAAAGTGAAGAAATATTCAAATTAAGCTATATTTGTGAATTTGATAAATTCGTAGCGATTAACAAACTTTTAACAATATGTATTTACTTCAATAAGTAAAATGTGATGGCCATAAAAGACATCGCGACGATGACAAGTGAAAATCGCTTCAGATTGTCAAATCGGAGTTTCTAATTTGCAATTAAATGCAAATGGCTAGTGTCTACATGCATTCAAAAGTAAAATGTGAAATGGTTTTCAAATGGGCATCGATTACGCAAGGTAAACAATTTTCAAAAATTCTCATAACTAGACTGTGGATTTTTATGCAAAATACGGAGCCTAGAAATATGTACCACATAACTATAAGCAAAGTGTATAAATTTGTATACATTTTGTTTATACATAGTTAAGTGGTACATAGTTTTAGGCTTCGTTTTCTGCATAAAAATCCGCAGTCTAGACTCACAACCACGGCATTTATGCTAGTCCGATATTATAAAAGTAGAACAATTTTCGAGATGTTTTGAAATTTCGGTGTTTTGAGCTTTAAAAAAGTTAGATTAGATTAGGTCGCCCTCACTAAACTGAATTAAAAATTATTTTATTTTTAATAAGGAAAAAATAAGTAGGGTATTATTTAAATTCGGCTGAGAAGTGGCAGAGTTATGGTGGATGATAATTTAATTTTGTTCCAAAGTTTTATTGGTTTTAAGCATTTACCTTGTTATTTTATTCATTTTTTAACAAAATATAAAATAAGCCCCTGGTTTCGCACCGTAGGTCGATAGCCTGCTTTAAAGTGAATGTTTTGTGACTTTCCGAATCATGATCGGATGAAAACTGACAATTTAGTAAGAGATATTGTCAGCAAGCATGCTATTTCTATTTACGTATACTCCACTTCTAATTTACTTCTACTCCAAAATTTTTTGTTTTTATCAGGCGTTTGCATTATGATTTATTTATTGTTGCCAAAAAGTTTAGTTCGTGTTTTATAAAGAACTTTCTGCATTAGCAAGAAATTAAAGCAATTACCCAGCCAGCAAAATCATCGTAAACAAGCTCGTAATTGGATATTTTCGCGAAGAAAAACCGGATTAAAAATCGATAGCCGTTTACGACTCTTTTTCGAGCACTTTTTCGCTTTAAATTGTGCATCGCCTACGAACAGTCGTAAACGGATCGAAAAAGCATTCGTATGCGAATATTTTTACGTCCGTTTTTTTAATTGTAAACGAGTCTCGTAAACGATTAATTTACGTTAAAAAAGCGTTTTTCTACACTGCTTTATCTACTGTTTTTGAATGCTAAAAATAAAGGCAATTAATTAATTCAAATTATTGTAGTTCTTTTATTGAATGGAATTATAATTAATAAATATTTATAGTGCCGGATCAAACTATTGGCACAGAGAATTTTTCGCAATGTATGCAAAGTTTTTTACTTGGATTTCTTTTCGCACATTTTTTTTTTTAAATATAGTTAGTATGAAGACCTACTTTCAAATCAGATTTTTGAGAAAAATTCTAAGTATGCAGTTTTATATCCCATTATATTTTAGTATAACATAGTGCAAGCTTGAAGTTGCCAGAAAACCGCGTTGATTTTTGGCAATTTTTTCACGCAGTTTCTTCCATGCAAATTATGTGTGCATTTTTTTTTGTATGGAAGAAACTGCGTATAAGAAATTGTCAAAAAACAAAGAGGTTTTCTAGCTATTCAAGCGTGCACTTTATTATACTAAAATTAAATGGGCTATAAAACTGCATACTTAAAATTTTTCTAAAAAATCTGATTTGAAAGTAGAACTTCATACTAACTATATTTTTATAAAAAAACAATTAGAGAAGAAATCAGAATAAAAAACTTTGCATTCATGGCGAAAAATTATCTGTGCCAATATTTTTTCCCGGTACTGTATATGTGAAGATATTTTCAGATAAATAAATATTAAAAAACTATCTATTAACAAATTAACAATTACATAAGAGGGGTTTAATATATATTATAAAGTAGCTGAATTTATTTTTTATCTTTTTTGCCGATAGGCTGCCAATTTTTTTTGCCGGTCGTGTGCATATTGGAAGTGCTTCTTTGAAACGGTAATATAAAAACTTCTTCGTCGGAGTTAAATTTTTGACGAAAAGCACCTAAGAAAATAAAGTGAAAGATTAAGCTCCATTGGAAATCGGAAAATTTAATTAAGTAAAAAGTGGTAATAAATAATATTATTATCCGTACTTTTTATTGCCGCAGTCATTGCCAAACCAATAGCGCTGCTTTTGGTACCAGTTCCCTTCCACGAGAAAAGTTCTGCTACCTCATCTATAATAATTTGTTTTTAATGAATCATTTATTGACGCTAGTACGGATAAGGCTTCGGATTTCGCCCGCCTTTTTAATTGAGAAGCCATATTATCAATAAAACATTAAGCTCAATAACTGCAAAGACGTAATAAACTAGCAAATTAAAAAAATAAATAACTATAAACCTACGAGATAGGGGAATTAAACGTTTAAATCCTTTAGTGTTGCTCCGCGCAGCCTGTGAAAGAATTGCAAAACTCGTTAAATTAATTTGTATTTTTGAATTACATATGTAGTAGCTACTTACAAGAAGTTTAATTATAAAAGAAAGTGGTAGATCGTCCTTTGCGTTTGCACCAGTCTGCCAATAAATCACATACTTAATAATTTTCTTAAATTGAATATTGATTGAAGAAAAATTGTCAACAAAACTAAAATTTTTTCTTGTGCTGACAAATTACTACAAGCCTCTTTCTATTATATTTTTTTGTTTTATCGTTTACGAGCTTTTCTCTAACTGTTTGGCGATACGAGAATCCCTCGTGAAACATAATGTTCGTAAAATGTACGTTTTCTTGCTGGCTGGGTATCCACATACATATGTATAAGGTGCGTGAATATTACTGCGTAAACAGTCCCAATAAGTCCTGTTATGCTTGTGGAGAGTATATTTTTGCGCGGGAACTTAATTTTACTTAAACTTGTTCCCCAAAATATTGACGCCGAAGGTCCTGTGCAATACTTGCAGAACAAACATAAGTACTTATTTGGATGAAGGACGTAAAGTAAAGCTATATATAAATAGGCAAGCATGAATCAATTGGGAATAATTTTCTCCTACGTTTCTAAACCGATTCGAATGGTTGTTGCTTTATTGGAAAGGTGTTTGGTAGGAGGAGTGCACAAACTTTTAACTTTTCCAATAGGTGGCGCAGGGGTCGAGCTATTTACAGTCCGATTTGCTTCTAACTCAGAATATATATTTGCTACATAAGGATAAACAAACCTGCCAAAATGGACCCGATAGGTGTAATATGTAATATTTTCTCATATCTTATATATAAATAGGCAATAATGTTTTTTTACACCCCTTTCACAGCTAAACTATACCTCTAAGGTATAAACAATTATATATCATTAGAAAGGTATTTTGATGCTGATGGGCAGACAATTTTTCAAATTTACATGTACATGGTTGGGGCGGAAATGCCTCCTAAATGTATGCTTTAATATTGATACTAAATTAAAGAAATGTGCTAAGCAGCAGTTTAGGAATCAGATTTATGTAGATTAAGATTCGTGCAAGGTAGAAGGTAAAGTTGAATATGTAGAAGAAGAAAGGGATAAAGGCAAGGATTAAAATAAAAGTAAAGAAACCTACATATAAAGACAAAGGGGAAGGGAAATGTAAATACCTTACCTAATAACAATGGTGGGAGTGAATACGTAAATGAAGAAAAGAATGAAGATATAGATCAGGATAAAGGAAAAGATAAAGATGAAGACGAATACGAAGATGAAGATGAAGGTGCAGATGAAGATGAAGAGAAGATGAAGATGATGAAGATGAAAATCAAAACGAAGATTAAGATGGAGATTAAGATAAAGATAAAAATAAGATAAAGATGAAGATGAAGATGATGAAGATGAAGAAGATGAAGATGATGAAGATGAAGATGAAGATGAAGATGAAGATGAAGATGAAGATGAAGATGA